GAACTTTTAGCATGTAACCTTTTTTTTTGCAAGTTTTAGCGGTTTCAGGCCAGTGCCCCCCGAAGAACTATTGGGACAGGTGGTGTTCTTTGATAAGGAAGTGTCTTTTCTTGGCTGCCTCTGCCCTCCAGTGGCCTGACACTTTGAGAAGACTTTGACATAGGAGAAAAGAAATAAAGCGTATGCTGGGCCGTGGTCGCTCATACTTGTAACTCTAGCTACTCAGGAGGCTGAGAACTGAGAATCACAGTTCAAAGCCAGCCCATTAGAAAAGTCTATGAGACTCTTATCTCCAAGAAACCACCAGAAAAGCAGAAGTGGTGTTGTGGCTCAAGTGGTAGAGCACTCAGCTTGAGCTGAAGAGCTCCAGAACAGTGCCCAGGCCCAGAGTTCAAGCCCTACGACCAATAAAAATAAATAAATAAGAAAAAAAGCCCAAGAAAGAAAGGACTTTCTTTTAAAAACATTTTATTTAGCTAAATGTGACTATATGCAAGAAAACAAAGTACTTTGAAAACCAAAAAAGTGATTTATTAAAGAGACATAGAAAAAAGAGAAGGAGGGAAGGAAGAATGGATGGAAGAAATTAAGGAAGCAAGCAAGGAAGGAAGGAATTAAGGAAGGAAAGAAGAAGGAAGACCTTTTTTTTTTTTTTTTTTTAAGCAAGGACTCAATGAAAGTGCTTTAGAAAACCAAAGAAAAAAGAAACTCCTTTGTTCAGAAATCACTTTAACTTACAAGGAAAGAAAATTGTCTCCTCTAAATAGTGTGTCCAAATATTAACACTCTGCTTGTGACTGTGGTCTTACTTGGGAAAAAGAAAAAGAAAGAAATGGTCTTTCCAAATTAATTATGAAACCCTCCTGGAGTAGTTGTGTCAAAGAAAAACTGTATTAGGTAACGTAGAGGCAAATAAAGTTTCACTCCTAACCATTCAATAGGAAAGAGAGATTGAAGACTTGGAGCTGAAGGCTGGAGAGTATTTTAGGTGCTGTGGAGAACGAGTGGGTATGAGTTGGTGGACAGTAGAGTCCAGTCACCACTGTGATAAGGTCCTTGCGGTGTTTGTTAATTGTTCTTTGTTTAAGTTAGACTTCTTTACTTCCCACTGAGAGGGAAATGGAGGGTATCTTCCTTGATAATTATCCTTCAGAGGAAAGTCTGCAGGAATTTGAGAAGAGACATGCTTGGGTTATAAAGTCAGGGAGAAACACAGGGAAGATTTACATTTAAAAGGTTGGGAAGAGGAATTACAATTGAAAGTTTCTAAAGTGAATATTCTAAAAAAAAGAGGTCAGCTCATCAAGAAATATACTCATTACCTAATTGATGTAACTGTAACCCCTCTGTACAGCATCTTTACAAGAAAATACAATTTTTTTAAGAAAAAGAGAGAGGTCAGGGTCTATTGTTGAAACTGTAACTGTCTAAAGCTAAGTCAAACTGAGGTAAAGGTCAAGGCCATTTTAGTCATGTGACTTTAAATCCAGTGTTCTTATAAGACTTGCCCATAGGAAGGTGGCTCAATGGTAGAGTGCTTGCTTTGCATGCATGAGGACCTGGGTTTGATTCCTCAGCACCACATAAGCAGAAAAAGCCAGAAGTGGTGCTGTGGCTCAAGTGGTAGAGTGCTCTCCTTGAGCTGAAGAGCTGAGGGACAGTGCCAAGTCCCAGAGTTCAGGCCCCACGACCAACAAAAAAAAAACCCAAAAAACAAAAAACAAAAAAATAGTTGCCCATAAAGAACACAAAAGACAAGTAGAGACACAGAAGAAAAAGATATAGACAGGAAAAAGAGATAAGAATAATGTCAAGGATGAAGGAGAGAGAATGTAATCAAAACCCAGGAATATAATATATTATTTTCCCAGAAAAGCCTCTTTGCACCTCCCAGTTTAAAATGTATCTATTTAGGTCTCCTCACAAGCATCTTACCCTTCATTTCCTTTTTCTGTGACTGATAATGCTAGCCAAGACTTCTGGCTTTCTCCTCTTAATTCTGTTGATAATGATAACGATGAGGATATTACAGATGGAATTTGTTTAGTGATTAGTTTATGCATTATCTCTCTTTAATCCTTGCTAAAACAAAATAAGGAAGATACTTTTATAGCAAGATTGAAGTAACACAAGTTAGTTGTCTTGCCTGAGGAAAGCCCATACACTTAACGATTTTGCTTTTTTAAAAAAATTGTTATTGTAAAGGTGATATATAGGGGGGTTACAGTTACGTAAGTCAGCTATGAGCACATTTCTTCTTGGACAATGCCACTTCTTCCCCTCTCTCTCCCAGTTTTTCCCTCTGTCCCCACCTGCAAGTACAGCTCATTTTCAACAGTGTCTAGTGAGTATCACTGCTGCATTTGTTCATCCTTTGTCCCTCCATTTCTGTGCCCTACCCCTTACTCTCCAAAAGACAAATAAATGAACAAACAAGGTAAAAAGGAAATAAAACAACAACAAAGAAAAACTTCTTGTTTCTATTTCCTGGAGAAGTTTGCTATTTTTTTCTGTCTATATCATAGAGTGTTCACCTCTCCCCTGTTCCATACCGCCTTGCATTATCAATGTATTTTTCTATTCTGGTGCAAATGATTCCACAGAGATAGCTAGTAATCCCAGATGCATAAAGTAATCAATCGTGTTTCCTTTTTAAAGGTCTTTTAATATTAGGTTATCTACATTTTAAAAATTTAAGCACAGTATTATTTGAATATTTTTACCATTTAACTATTTGTAAAATTCTACATTTACCCTTTCACAGCATTTATCTTAATTCTTTGAACATTAGGAGTGCCCAGATTTCACAGGATGAATATAATTAATCAGCGAGCCAGTTGCTGCATGGCCTCAGGTTCCTCATCTTTCTTGGGGTCATAGTTTTCTGTAATGTTTTAATTGAGATACCCTCTCTGTATGCGGTGTGAAACTCCATGCTTCGCTTCTGGCCATATTTCTCAGCATTGAACTCTAACAGAGCCTGGTTTTCTCTGGTCTCTTGTCACTTCATTTGTTTTCCTTTGGCATCCTGCTGCTCCACTGTAGCTAGTCTACCTGTAACTACTCTGCCAACACACAGCTGTATACGATGGAGTCATATGATGGCTTGGAAATTAAAGTATGCCAAAACAGAGATACTTATACTCATGTGACAATCCACTATTCAACAAACTTACTAACACTCACTGAGTGTCCAGTGGCACTGTGCTGGGCTCTAATGATAAATAAACAAATAGAAGCTTGATTATAAACTCCTATTCCAGTAAGAAAATCGTAAGATTCACTAGGCACTTGACACATGAGAGCAGAGGTAAGTTTACTGACATTTAATGAAGTCTTACGATTGATTGGGAACTCTGGTTGTGGACCTGAACTAAATAGGGTGAATAGACATAAAACAGCCCTTCAGTGTAGACAGAGGAAAGGGGGAGAATTAGAATAGGTTTTCATCATATAGAAACAAGCAATAGTAATGTGAAACAGGTCATTGCAGGAACTAAGAGAAAGTCTGTGTGCTAGTGATCTATAGAGCCATAAATAAATAAATAAATAAGGATAAGTCTGGAAAAAAAACCCTAGTAAACTCCTTTAACAGGCAAGCACTAGTGGTGGCTCATGCCTAGAATCCTAGCTACTCAAGAGGCTGAGATATAAGATAGAAATTGAAAACCAGCTTAGACAAGAAAGTCAATAAGACTCATCTTCAGTTAAGCAATAAAAAAGCCACAAGTGGAGTTGTAGTTCAAGTGGTACAATGCTAGCCTTCAGCAAAAAAACCTCAGAGACAGCACCCTTGCCCTGAATTCAAGCCCCAGGATCAGTAAGCACGTGTGCACGCGCATACACACTGCTTTACAAATATACATACTTCATGCTTTCTTACAAATCCTATCTTAATTTTGAAGTTAATGGAAGCTATTGGAAAGTTTGATGTCAGTGATTGAAATGCTATGTTTTGTGTTTTAGAAAAAAGGTCTAAATTAGATATATAAAAAAGAATAAAAGTGGGGCACCCATGCTCACACCTGTAATCCTAGCTACTCAGGAGGCTGAGATCTGAGGATCATGGTTCAAAGCCAGCCCGGGCAGAAAAAGCCTTGAGACTCTTATCTCCAATAAACCGCCAGAAAGCCAGAAGTGTTGCTGTGGCTCAAATGGTTGAGCACTAGCCTTGAGCTGAAGAGCTGAGGGACAGCACTCAGGTCTAGAGTTCAAGCCCCATGACCAACAAAAAATTAAAAAGAATAAAATATATAAAGATGGAAGGAATAGAGATTCTAAACAAGAGTATTTTAGCGTGGGTGAGAGATGATATTAAGACTAGGGAAGAGTTGGTGAAGATGAGGATGGACAGAAGAATTTGAGAAGAATTTACTGTAGCATAGAGAAAGAGGATTAAGGATGCAGAGAGCTCCCTGGAACAGTGTAGGCAACAAGGTAAAAAGTAATCTGAAACATTTCATACTAAAAACACTGATCGGAATTTTTGGATGTGGAAATTTCTCAGAGTCTATCACTCCTTGAGCCCTTCCCCAAGACTTGCTCCTTTACTTCTGTCTTTTCACTCTCCAAAGCATCCTTAGGCAAGTATTAAAATCACATTATGTGGTTTTTTTTTCTTTTCATCATGTCTTAGATCAAAGTTTTAGGCTGTGGTTTCCATCAGAACTTCCAGGATTCTGAGCCAGGGGGACAGGAGATGTGTACTTTCATCTCCCCACAAGCAAATCCAAGTCATATTTCCTTAAGCCCTCCACAGCTTGGCAATGCATTAACAGGCCAACTGTTTACAGCTTTCCTTGTACCCTCAATGTCTAAGTGTTCATAACCTGAGTTATACAAATTAAAATTCAAGATAGCTATACTACTAAGTACTTAATATTAACCATGTATAATCAAAATATTTACTAGTTTTATAACTTAAAATCAGTCTCTTTTTTTGTCTAGAGAGGAAGAATACCTATCCCTAATGTTGGCCTTGTTCTTGTTTTCTTTTAAAGGGAATATCGTGGGTTAGAACTTCCTTTGTTTCCATATCCAGATTACTTCGCCCGGGAGGACGAAGAGCTGGCAAAAATCATTGATCACCATGTAAGATTGATTGTCTTATAGTTTTGTTCTTTCAAGACACTTTTAGTATTATAGATATAGTTCCAAATTTAAACAGTTACATGTTGTATGGAAAAGTAGAGTTATGGATTGGAAACATGGCTCAAATAGTAGAATGTTTGCCTAGTAAGTGAGAACTCCTAGTCTTATCTACACACACAAACTAAAAGTAGAATCATGATTGTTTTTTCCAAACTTAATTATGCCTCATGATGTTATTTGTATAAGACATGTGAGGTAAATACACCTCCATGTCTCCAGTGGGTTACAGAAAACAGTGTTCTATCATTTGTGAAATACTAGCTTAATTCTGTTTCTGAATTAGCACTCATTTCTTGTGACAAGAGGCTGATTATAATCAGTGAACACTGATTTTTTTGTTGTTGTTGTTGGTCAAGGGGCTTGAACTCTGAGCCTAGGTGTTGTCCCTGAGCTCTTCAGTGCAAGGCAAGCTGAAGTCTCAATGCCACTTCTGGTTTTCTGGTAGTTAATTGGAGATAAGAATCTCATGGACTTCCTGCCAGGGCTGGCTTTGAACCACAATTCTCAGATCTCAGCCTCCTGAGTAGCTAGGATTACAGGCGTGAGCCACTGGCACCTGGCTGATTTTATTTTTTTCTGCAGTGCAGTTCTAAATAACGTAACAAAAATCTTTTGACTCATTTTTCAGTGACTGTGCTTTTCCCTTGACAAAGAAGAATGATTCTTAATCACTTTGATCTGGTATGACATCAAGCAATAGCAATATAAGACTATTCACATAAGAACTTTAATCCATTGAGTGCATTTAGTTGATAACTTTTTACTTAACTCTACAGTTTTTAACTGTAGTTGAGTAGAAAAGTGAGGCCTTATTTTCTGTGTTCTCTCTGAATGTCAGATAGACTCAGTAACATAAAATGTGTTTAAATTAATTTCATCACTAGTAGATCAATGCTATCTATCAGATTCTTATTATATTACTTGATTCATTTAATATTAATATTATATGTAATGTCTTAAAAATAGGGTTTATTTATTTTGCTTTCCATGTCAAATAGTTATTTGTAACATAGTTAATATTTAAGCCATAACTAGCTTATAGTAGCTATAAGAGTTTGGGGTCTTAATAATAACATAATCACAAAAATGAGATCTGTTCTATTGATCTCCTATTCACTGAAAAAGTTTTGATGTTTTTACTGGTGGGTCGTGGGGGTTGAGCTCTGGGCCTGGGCACTGTCCCTCAGCTCTTCAGCTCAAGGCTAGCACTCTACCACTTGAGCTATAGCACCACTTCTGGTTTTCTGAGTGGTTTATTGGAGATAAGAGTCTCACAGTCTTTCCTACCTGGGCTGGCTTTGAACCTGGATCCTCAGATCTCAGCCTCCTGAGTCGCTAGGATTATAGGCGTGAGCCACGGGTACCGAGCCTGAAAACGTTTTTGCTAGACCTATTTCTACTGTATGCAGGAAGGATATTCTCAAAAATTTCTAATTTTTCTATTCACTTCAGTTTAATGATATAGAGTTGGCTGTAAAAGATAATAGCTTGTCAAGATTTTATAAATATATAATATAGATATACAATGCATGTTTGCATAATTATATTATCATTTATTATATATTTGCTTATAGATATAAAGAGGTAGACATACAGACAGATGGATAGAAAGATAGAAGAAATAAATATATTATTTATCTAAATCTCAAGCAACTTTCTCTATTTAAGGATATTAAGAAGACAAAGGAAAACATTTTGAATGATAGAGAGAAGCTTAGAAATAGCTTCTAACAGCTGTCATCTTTTTGCTTTCCAAGGGAATGATCATTATCTAAATTGCTTATATTACACCTAAAGAAGGGTAAAGGATTCCTGTTTGGAATATGCTTGAGAACTTTTTTTTTTTTTTTTTTTTTTAAATTTTATTTTATTTTATTTGAGAACATACTGTACAGAGGGGTTACAATTACATGGGCAGGATAATGCATACATTTCTTACCAAGCATTGCATCCTCCTCCTTTGTTTACCCTTCACCTCCCTTCCCAGCCTCCCCCCTCCCTCCCACCCAATCATACCCCCCCTCCCCCCCCCCCACCGACATTGTAAAGCTGGTTTTGACATGACATTTTGTACTTCGCTTGAGAACTTTTAACATACAAATTATTTGATATATAGCCTATGAAACAGTTAATAATTGTTGTTTTTATTTGAGAAGAATAATGGTAGTCTCTCTGAATACTATATTATTACCAGATATTCTTATATTAGTTAATTTAATTCTTGAAATAGCCCTGACAAACATTTTGCCAATAATAAGAAAAAAATACTTATAATTCAATTGCTTGCACAACTCTAAGGTTAGTAAATTACTGAGTCTCTGTACCAAAACAGATCTCCAGACTTCAAATCTACTTTGCTTTCCCCTTTCTATAGCTGCTTAAGCCTGTAGTTTGTAGTCACTAACCAGAATTCGGGACCAAAGTATGGGATCTGTAATATTGAGAAGAAACCAAAACATATCTTGGCAGCTACAGATATAATTCTTCTTCTAAGTGACTTTTGTTAAGTGTCTGTAATAGGCAAGGATGAACAAAGATGCCATATTATTTAGCAAATATTAAGGTGTCTTTTATATTGTGGTATTCTATGGCACTGAGTGAATGAGTGAATAATGCAGTGAATGTTGTTCTATTTCCCATCAACATCAGTCATTAACTGCATATACTTAATTGTACCTAAGAGGATAATGGTGGCAGGCAAAGATAAGATAACATAAAGATTTGGCCAAATTGAGCTAGTTAGGGTCAGTCCAGATAAAAGGAAAGATTGTTTTCTTAGGAGACTAATGGACTAATGCTGTATATGTGATTTTTTTTCAGCCATACCAAGTTCTAAGGATGGGGAGAAAGGATAGTAGTAATAGGAACCATTTTTTGTTAATCTCATGCATTAATACATGCTGTTTCAGAAACAAAACATTCTAATTTAGTGACAGTTTATAAGACCTAATTCTCTGTTGACTTTTCCCAATGCAAAACAGTTGAGCATGAGTTTTTCACATAAGAAAAAATTGCGTGTCACTCTTGAATACCATAAAACATGTAGACTAAACCAAAACATTAATTTCAGCCTATGCCTAAATGTTTTGTCTCAACAATCCATATAATTCATGCAAAATTGCTTTCTGAGAGCTCAAATGTAAGTAGTAACTGTAAGTAGTTACAATCTTAAGAAATGTGCTAATGGGGAAGTGGCGCTGTGGCTCAAGTGGTAGAGCGCTCACCTTGAGCTGAAGAGCACAGGGACAGTGCCCAAGCTCAGAGTTCAAGCCCCATGACCGACAGAAAAAAAAGGTGCTAATGAATTACATTTCTTATGTCACTAAAACTTAATTGAATGATACAAACATATATAATGTTTTAATCTTAATATACATTCCTGAGTACTTTGATCCTTTTGCACATTGTATTGCATGCAGCCAGGATGAATGATGTGCTATGGATTGTAAGGTCTAGTTCTGCTTATGATTTTCAATACATCTCAGATGACAAATAATAGTCATGATTCATGGCACTGGTGCATGTGGTTAGTTAGTTGATATATGTTGATTTCCTCAGCCTCTCATTGTTTGTGTATATGCATGAGCTGGGGGTTATAAAACAAATAACAACCAGGTGCTGCAGGTGGCCCATGCCTAGCTACTCAGGAGGCTGAGATCTGAGGACTGTAGTTCAAAGCCAGGCCAGGCAGAAAAGTCCCAGTGAGACTCTTATCTCCAATCAATCACTTAAAAACCAGAAGTGGAGCTGTGGCTTGAAGTGGTAGAGTGCCAGTCTTGAGCCAAAAAGAACTCAAGGGCAGCTTCTAGGCCCTGCATTCAAGCCCCACAACCAACAAAAACAGGAACAACAAGAACAAATAGCAGTGTAGTGGGCACTGGTGGCTCATGCTTGTAATCCTAGCTCCTCAGAAGGCTGAGATTACAATTCGAAGCTAGCCCAGGCAGGGGAGTACAAAGGAAATAGCCAGGAGTAGAGCTGTGGTTCAAGGGGTGGAGCACTTGCCTTGAGCTAAAAAGCTCAGAGACAGTATCCAGGTCCTGAGTTCAAGCCCTAGGACTGGTATGTACACACCCACACCAACTCTCCCTCCCCCAAATAGAAGTGTAGACACCATTTCCAATATTTTATTCAAGGAGATATTTTTTTCCCCTGAGCATTTTACTCAGCTTGAAGATGGTTTATCATTCTATCTAACCTCATCAAATGAATTAGAAGAGAAATAGTTCCTCATTATGATACTTGGTTCAGTTGTTATAATTACTTTTAACATCTCATTTATTCATTCATTATGTCACATATACTGCTATTGTCATGGATTATTGTTAGCTTAGATGAGTCTATTAGAAATGACCTTTTTGCTGGTTGGCTGCCATGGAAATTCTTACTTCACCCTTGTCTCATTCTCAACCTCAAATGATATGCTAGCATAGGTTTTGCCTTTCACTTTGCATTTTCTGCATTTTGGTTTTTTTTTTTTTTTTTTAAGCTTGAGTCTTCTTTTCTTTTTCTTTTTTACTGGTCCTGGGGCTTGAACTCAGAGCATGGGCTCTGTCCCTAGGCTTTTTTGCTCAAGGCTAGTGGTCTACCACTTGAGCCACAGGATCACTTCTGGCTTTTTCTGAGTAGTTTATTGGAGATAAGAGTCTCATGGACTTTTCTGCCTAGGATGGCTTCTAACCACAATCCTTATCTTATCTGATCTTTTCTGCTTGTCTCAGACATATGCTAGTTATTGCAAATAAGGGAAACCATGGACCTATGTTTCTTTGGGTCTGGCTTACTTCACTACCATAGCTAAGATATGGAACCAGCCCAGATGCCCCTCAGTAGATGAAAGGATTAAGAAAATGTGGTATATATACACAATGGAATTCTATGCCTCCATCAGAAAGAATGACATTGCCCCATTTGTTAGGAAAGGGAAAGACTTGGAAAAATTATATGAAGTGAGATTATATTAAGTAAAATATTCTCTTTTAACAGTGGCAGGAAGAGATGGCGATTCGAATGGAGGAAGAAGCAATATTGGAGGCCAAAGAATTGAGTGAGAAAGAGTTAGAAGAAGAAACACGCTTTCAAGAAATTATGAAGAAAAGAGAAGAGAAATTGCATAAACAAACCAAACCATATGAGCTTCCTTCAAAGACAGCAGTAATTTCATTAGAACAAAAAAAATCTCTCCAAATAAATAGAAAGCCATCTGCCAGAAATTAATACCAACCCCCCCCCCCCCCAACAAACCAACATAGAGATAGCTTCATGTTATGAAGACTTCTTTACAATAAATTAAAGACCATTTTTAGGGGAAAGAATTGTATTCTGGTGGTGTAAGCTGCTTCATAGTTTTGTCTTAGTTCTACATAGTTATGTCTTAGTTCTACATCATTCACTTACATTATTAATCACATTTGAGAAAAATTATTTCACCAGTTAAAATTTCTCGCATATCTACTTCTGATAATACAGAGTTCCTGTTCAATCATCTTCACTGTTGATATTCCCTGCACTGAAAAATAAAAAAGAATTGAAAATTAGTCACTATGTCAGAATTACTTCTTAGCCAGGCACTGGTGGCTCACATCTGCAATCCTAGCTACTAATATCTGAAGACTGCAGTTCAAAGCCAGTTTGTGAAGGCAAGTCCATGAAACACTTATTTCCAATTAACCACCAAAAAAGCCAGAAATAGAGCTATGGCTCAATTGGTAGAGAGCACTAGCATTGAGCAAAAACAGCTCAAGGACAGCACTGAGGCTCTTTGAGTTTAAGCCCAGGGAGCAGCATAAACAAAAGCAAATGCTTACTGAAAATATAATGAGCATTGGCTTATACTCTACTAATCACTGTTATTCATAAAAGAAGTCATGGCATTTTTTGGATTTGCATTTTATGGTCCATCTGAACCAGTCCTCTGAGATTGGCATGATCTTTTTTTTTTTTTAATGTGTTAGTAGCATGTGGAACCAGGTAGTCTTAATATTAGTAATGAACAAATGCCATGAAAAATAAGGTTTAACAAGATGCTAATTTAAACAAACATCAACCCTAGAATCTCTAGTAATCAGTGGGTTTGGGGAAGAGGAAAGGAAAGGTTTGTCTCTCTGAGGATTTGTTTTCTATCATTTTGCAAGGTGCAGTTAATGCCTATTTATAATAGACATAAATAGATAAATGCCTATTTATAAATGGACATAGTAGACACTGTTAGCCCAGAAGCCTCCTCCCTCCCAGCTTAACATGCTCTTTCCCTAGGCAACACTAGGCCCATGTAGTAAAGGCAGTAAATGATCAGCCCCTACCCCCTTTCCCTGAGAGAGCACCCTGTTGGGATAGCTATGACCATGTAAGACAGTGAGATGCCGCAAATCCCGGAGGTTAGAAAGGTCGCCTGAGACAACAGCCAGCACTTCTCACTTCCTCTCACCTGCAGGGCCCCTTACTGGCAATAAGCCTTTCCTTGGTCCTTCCTACCCTTATGCTGGATGATTTTCTGGCTGGGTCTAATTTAGGCTAACAGACACACTTCACAATTAAGCTTTTCTTTAACAGTATAATCATAGGCTTTTTTGTTGTTGTTGTTATTGTTTTGAACTTTTGAAGTCAGTGCCTAGGCACTGTCCTTTGACCACTTGAGCCACAGCTCCACTTACAGCTTTTGGGAGATTAATTGGCAATAAGAATCTCACAAATTTCCCTTTTTGCCCTGGCTGACTTTGCACCTTGATCCTTGGATCTTAGCTGCTTGAGTAGCTATGATTACAGGTGTATGCCACCAGTGCCTGGCAAGTGTAGTCTTTAATAAAGCTATATAGGGGCTGGGGAAGGTGCTCAGTGGTAAAGTGCTTGCCTTGCATTCATGAGGCTCTGGGTTCAATTCCTCAGCAACACATAAGTAGAAAAAAGCCAGAAGTGGCATTTTGGCTCAAATGGTAGGGCACTAGACTTGAGCTGAAGAGCTGAGGCACAGCACCCAGGCCCAGAGTTTAGGCCCCACAACCTTCCAAAAAATAAATAAGTAAATAAAGCAATATAATCCTTCACAGGGGGAAATGGCCATTTGCAAAGCAATCATTAAAGAGAGGCCCACAAACTTGGGTCCACCAGCTAGGATAGGACACAAATACCATAGCTTCCCTATGATGAGCTACATGTAGCCACATGAGAATGCTCTGGAGAGTTCTTGGTAATGAAATTCTTAGGTTAAGCTAAGTGAAGTCCTGATGGCACCCCCTCAGTTTTGCAGATGGGGATAGTGTGCCAGGATTCTAGTATCAGGTTAAGGGACTGACTAAATAAGGGGTACAAAAGGGGCTGGTGTGGACAGGATCTGGAGATTCCTGTGGTATCTCATGAATGCCAGAGGAGTCCTCTGAATGACAGTAGCTTTTCTTTGCTAGGTGAGTTCATGAGAATAGATTTGGATGATCAGCACTAATTATGGGAGGCATTCATCCAATCAAGACAATAAATGACATTTCACATAATCGGAAACGCTCAATTGATGAAAGTAATGGAATGGAGTTCCTGTGATGCCTTTACTCTTTTTCTAGAAAATACAGATAACATAGTTTTCAAATTCACACATATGGCATGGTGATACTCAAAGATAACTTTACCAAATATGTCCCATGATGACGCAGGTCAGGAAAGGAGCAAATTAGTCAAGGAAGCAAGAGACTATATACCCCATCTTAACAAATTTCTTTCCAGTTGCCTATATTCTCAAATGGTTGCTCTGACTCTTCTAGTATTTCAAGACACTTTCAATTGGATTTTTAATAATATATACATATTTATAAGCCTCAAAATCATGTGAACTAATTTTGAAAATCCTGTATTTTTCGATTAAGTTGGACACATAAACCACATTTTTCTACGTTTTTTTAATTGTAAAAATGCTGTACAGAAGGGTTACAGTCACATGAGCAAGGTAATGCGTACATTTCCGATTGAGCATTGTTACCTCCTCCTTTGTTTTCCCCCTACCATCCCTTCCCTCCCACCTCCACAACTATCCCTGCTCCCCTTCTCCCCCCCTCGCTGAGGCTGTAAAGTTCATTTTCAACATAGTGTTTTGTACATCTCATTGTTGCAATGGGTCAAACTGTATGCTTATTTAAGCATTTTGTTTTTTCCCTTCTCCTCCCCGAATTAGAGAAGTGTACACAAGATGCAGGGCACCAACATCAAATACAGTAAAAACAAACAGGGGTTATACCATGGCGGAGGAACATACAAAGAAACAAAAGAAATCACATGGTACATTATAAATACGTTAGAAACAATAGCAAGCAAGAAAAAAGATATTATGTCCCTATCTTGGGGTTCATTTCTCTTAACATCATCTTTTCTTTGGGGGGGGGCCCAGTCATGGGGCCTGAACTCTGGGCCTGGGCGCTGTCCCTCAGCTCTTCAGCTCAAGGCTAGCACTCTACCACTTGAGCCACAGCACCACTTCCGGCTTTTTTTACTTTTTGCTTATGTGGTGCTGAGGAATCGAACCCAGGGCCTCATGAATACAAAGCAAGCGCTCTACCACTGAGCCACTGTCCCAGGCCCTCTTAAGATCATCTTATATGGTCATATGTACATAGCTTTTGGCTTTTTCTGTTTGTCCTACACAAGTACTATATTGCAAATAAGGGAAACCATGGGACTATGTTTCTTTGGGCCTGGCTTACTTCACTTAATATAATTTTTTCCAAATCTTTCCATTTCCTAGCAAATGGGGTGGTGTCATTCTTTCTGATGGAGGCATAGAATTCCATATATATATATATATATATATATATATATGGAATCCATTCATCTACTGAAGAGCATCTGGGTTGGTTCCATATTTAGCATGGTAAATAATGCTGTGATAAACATAATTGTGCAAGTAGCCTTAGTGTGGTCTTGTTTGTGATCATTTGGGTAAATGCCCAAAAGTGGGATTGCTGGGTCATAGGGGAGCTCTATGTGTAGTCTTTTGAAGAACCTCCATACTGCTTGTATTTTGTGAGTTTGTATCAATAAAAGTTTGTCTCTTGTATTTTGTTTAAGCTAGCATAAAGTAGAAAATTGTGAGGGATGGGGTTCAGTGTTTATTTTCTCTACAGTTAATTCTAACATGTTCCATTTCCAGAATGATCCATGTATGCTTCTACAGAAAATATACAACTCAGAAACAAAATTCTTTGCCCATCCACTCAATAGATGAGAGGATCCAAAAAATGTGGTTTCCAGCCATTAGAAAGAATATCACTTATAGGGAAATGGATGGACCTACAACAAATCATGTTAACTAAGCCAAGCTCACAGACAAATAGTGCATTTTTTCACTCATGTGTGGAAGTTAGATCTGAATTATACTGGGGCATGATAAATTATACAGGACCTCTAGTCATTCACACACAATGAGGATACTCTTAGTGGATGAACACAAAGGTGCAATGCCTACTTACTTCTGAGCATAAAAAATAATATTGATTGAAGTGAATTCCAGGAAATGGAAACAATAAGATTTCACTTTGTTATTTTGTCTTGTTTGTGTATCTATCTTTGGGAGGCTAAGGGGGACACAGAAATGGAGAGACAAAAGGTGAACAAATGCAGCAGTGATACTCACTAGACACTATGTTGAAAATGAACTATATAACTTGTGGGTGGATGAAAAATGTGGGAGGAAGTGAGGGAAGGGGTGACAGTGTCCAAAAAGATATGTACTCATTACCTGACATATATAACTCATTACCTGATTATATAACCATAACCTCTCTGTATATCACCTTTATAAGAAACAAAAAAAATTAAAAAAAAAACAAGCCAACCCCCCCAAATAAATAGTAGAATTAAGTTATAATAAAAGATAAAAATCTTCAAATTTACCTTTCCTCAATATGTTCATCCATCTTTGCTCCACTCATATGTGAAAATAATCATCTCAAAAAAAGACCAGCCAGGTCCATTTCTCTGAAGCTCATTTCTTCCCAAGGCCTATTCCACCAGCTACTTGCTACCTTAAGACTCTTCTCTTCATCTTTCTGAATCAAGTAATCCTATTTTCCTCCCATTCTTCTATACAAACCACTCGCTTATTAAAGCCACCAACGGTCTGGGCCTTCCCAAACCCAGGTTGCTCTTTTAAACCTATTGGTTTGTAGGGAAATATAACCACTGAGCTGGAAATTGTAGGGAGGGACTATGGTGATCTAATTGCTATTTAGAAGAATTTTAACAAATCTTGTACCACC